CTAAAGATTATCAACCCGCCCAAACGAGCTCGAGTACAACGGAGGTCAATGAAGCCCCGGAACCGGAAACCACAAAGCACGAAACTACTACGGATATGAAGGAAACATCAACCTCTACCGAGGACGTTGAAACCCCAACAGCTACCAATACAATGTATGACGATGTTGAAAGCTCCAGCGAGGAACCCACCATGTCTTCTACCAGAGGTTACGATGAAGAAGTCAGCACCCCAACTACCATGTCCTCTACCAGAGGTTACGATGAAGAAGTCACCACCTCAACGACCATGATGCAGGCCAAGGAAACAACTACTACGAAGTCTAGTACCACTATGTCGAAAAATGATAGGTATCCTGAAGAAACCCCAAGCGAAGACACGGAATCCAGTATGCCATCTACTACGGAGACCACATCGATGAAGACCAGTATGCCTTATAAAGACGTTGAAGAGACTTCATCTACCCATAGCAAGACCACTGCCACTCCATACGGTCAAGTCGAAGAAACCTCAACTGAAGGTCCGGAATACACCACGCCCTCTCATACCAAGGTTGCATCTACCTCTCAGGAAACCACTACCGCATCTAGCACTACGAAGGCGAGCACCACTAAGCCCTCCTACGACGATGAAGATGTAGAAACATCCAAGGAGTCCACGACTATGCCCACCAAAGTCTACGATACTATGTCTACGGAAGAATCTACAACCGATATGCCGACGCAGTACACTACTACTCCGGCTACTTACGATAGAGCGGAGGTTTCTACCACCTTAGAGGAAGAATTGACCTCCATGAAATATACCACGACGTCTCACTCGAGCTCTATATCTACTACTCCAATCAAGGAAGAAACCACTACAGAATCCAAGACAGTGACGACACCTCGATACTACGACTCTGAATCTACCCAAGAACCTGTAATGTCGACCGAGTCTTCCCTTGACCAGTATAGTAGCTACTATAATCCCTCAAGCACTGCGTCCACTAAGCTACCTGAGGTGTATACAACTATCGAAGAGTCAACAAAGACCCCTGTAGCGTATACTACCCCAGAAGAGTCTACTGAATCTACGAAACCACCCATGTCGTATACTGCAGAAGCAACTAAGACTACCAAAGCCTATCAGGCTGTAGATGAAACAACGACATCCATGGAACATAAAACCACACACCCGAGTACCACTACCGCCGACGTTCCAGGCTACTCGGCCTCGAAGCCAGCCAGCGTAACGTGGACCATGAATGCATGCCCAACGCCTACAAATACAATGTATGCGGAACCCGATACCGTGGTCATGAATGTCGAATGCTTCAGATATTTAGAAGCTCAGACCATAGACACAGTGTGCGCCCGAGCCTGCAACTCTAAAAATGGTAGCTGGGGCAAACTCGACGCAGATGAACTCCAGGCATATACGGAGGCATATGAAGTTTGCGCCGAGGAGAAATATGAACTACGCTTGGCTCTCAAGAACGGTTGCGCGTGTTTCAGCGAAGACTTCGCAGGTTGCCCTATTCCAACTGATAAGCCAAATAACTACATACCAAGTACTAGTACTGGTGCCGCAACTACCACGAGCCATCCCCCACGGACCAATGAAACACCACATGCTTACACTACGCCACCCCCGTCAGTATCTACCCCTATGGCTTACACTACACCACCCCCGTCAGCATCTACCCCCATGGCTTGCACAAACGCGAATAAAGAATGGCCGGATAACTGTCTAAGCCACGTCATGGGTAATCTGACTGAGCATCAGATGATAGAAAAACAACAAATATGTGGTTTCCTTTGTAATAAAGAATCGGAAGATACCTATAAATACACGGACAAGGAGAATCTCGAGAGGTACAACAAACTCTCCGAAGGATGTGGGGGACACAAGTTCCTCATTGACGCCTTAGTCGAAGGTTGTGGGTGCATTATGAAGGATTATTTCGAACAGGGCAAAACCTGTGTTTATCCAAGAAAGCCGCTCCAGACTGCCCCGTCAGGATATAACACCCCAGCAGCATACACCACAGCCAAGGAAACTGCAATGCCCACTCCTTCAAGCTACACACATGTTTCTGCCACCCGTGCCTATGTATCCTCCGCTGAAACTCAAACCCCTATGCCAACTTATCCCGTGGAAGAGTGTCCCAAGGACTACGAAGGTAAACGCAAATGGCCAGAAGGAAACTGCCTTGACGAGGCATTTGGCACCGATGAAGGCGTAAAAATTGCTGAAGTGGTTTGTAATCTCCAGTGTGCTGATTTCCAGCAGACTCAATGGCCAGTCGACTATACAGAGACCTACCATAAAGCCCGCGGCAAATGCAAGACGCCCTCAGAGATGAATAGGGCTCTCGCTAAGGGTTGCGGCTGTCTGAACTACGGGTGGGTTAAAACGTGCCGACCTCAGTGTGAGCCTCCAGCTGGATATACTAGTACTAGTATGGTTATGCCGACCACCATGGCCCCTAAGCCTACGGAGACCACAACCCCTCCTCCGAAGGATACAAGCATGGCCACTTCATGGACAACGACAACCTACGTCACCGCACCATGTCAAGGCTGCGCAGTAACTACTATTACCACCACAGTCCCTTGCCCTCCTTCGAAAACTTCTACTATGGAAACGACAAGTATGGAAACAAGTATGGAAACGACGGGCATGGCCACCTCATGGACAATGACAACTTATGTCACTGCACCGTGTCAAAGCTGCGCAGTAACTACCATTACGACCACAGTTCCTTGCCCTCCTTCGAAAACTTCTATAACGGCAATGGTCACCACCACGTCAGAATCCATGACTGCTAAGGTTAGTTATAGAACCACTACATACACCGATGCCATATGCGAGATATGTATTACAAAACCTTGGACTTATACAGAAGCCATTACTATACAGGAATCCACGACCGAATCAATTACAGAAACCCCACCTACCACCACAATGATGACCACAGAGATGCCTCCAACCCCAACATCCTGGTCCACAGTAACCTACATGACCGCCGCCTGTGGGGGCTGCCCTGTAGTGACATTGACAACAACGCTCCCATGTCCTACCACTCTTAACACTGTGAAAATTGCCCCCGAAAATGCAAATACCTGCACCACTCGCAACGATATTCCACAGTGTACAGTTCCTCCAGGTAAATTAGAAGGCCCCTCCTATAGCTCTCGTTGCAATCAATGGTACCTCATCAAAGAAGGCGATACCTGCGAAGGGCTTTCAAAGAGTATTCCGTTAGACATGACACTGATCAAGGCATGGAACGGATTGGATGCCTCGGCGAACTGCACTTGCACCCCTGGACGTTGGATTTGTGTTGGACTCATTGACGGGAATAAGAAACCCGATTCCGTGAGATACGCAAAGGGGAGACCGACCTACTCGGACTATGGGCCGGAGGCTACTGCTTACGATAACGCCCCAAAACAGACCCCAGAGGCGTACGTCCCAGGGCCTACCCCTCCACCACAAAATACCCCCGGGCCCGTCGCATATCGCTGAGGGGCTAGAAGCTGAAGGAACTATGTCGAGAGTAATATGTATTGTTATCTTTGGATCAGATCGATGGTCTGTGTAAGTTAGTGTCAACATGTTTTTTCAAAGAGTCATGTATGCATCTATCGTTTTTCAATTTTCCTAGTAATAGAATGGTACCCTGCTATTTTGTTTGCTAAGTTTTGTTTTTGAAAAGAATGAAAAAATTCACTGTATTCGTGTAAAAGACCCTTGTGCTTTTATTTCGCTGCTAATTCAGATGTATTTCTTTTCGTGGAATCAATTTAGTCTGAGATATCTAGATGTCGTATTGAAGGCCTCTGCCAATACACAACGAGAAGCGACCCACACGATACGTTGGACTTTTTTGCCCAACGCAGCCTATGGACAAACCCAGGTTCAATTGATAGTGACCAAGGCAGCATGTTCCGAGCCAGCCAAACATAATTCTTGCCATGGCCATGTAGTTCTAGGCTTTCTATACCCTGGAAAAGGACCAAAGTTCTCTCGCCCTTAAACTTTCCCACCCAGCGAACTTAAATGTTTTGACCATTCTGAACCTTCCTCATTAGACGATATGCGGGATGTTTGACACTCGGGGAATTGCCAAATCCGTTAACGCACGCGATGTCCCATGAAAAGTTTGCAAAAGCCTCAAGAAGACCTTCTGAACTTTCGTATTCATCGATTTGGGGATATAGCTCAGTTGGTAGAGCGCTTCCTTAGCGTGCGCAAGCAGTCTCATATGGATGAGGTCCCGGGTTCAATTCCCTGTGTCTCCAGACTTCAAAGTTTCTTTTTAGTATTTTGCCGTTCCTTTTTGCCATTGCATTGCATCGAGCGCTTGGAGGGGAAAATTTTTTTAACAGGGAAGGGTGGTGGGGTTGAGTTCAAAATTGCCCAGTTCCTCTTTTTTTTGAGCTCTTTGGCTTCCAAAAGAGACCTCGAGGGGCCGATGTCACGCGAGCCACTAGCTATGGTTTGAACTCGAAGGTGCGTTAGCAGTATACTAGTAGCAGCTCCCAGCCATAGAGTGTATCTACCCAAGCCTTGCAAGCAGTGTATGGATACGACCTATGCTCCAAAGTTTTGTTTGGTTAAGAAAAAACGAAAAAACGAAAGAATGAAAGAATGAAAGAATGATAGGGTAGCTAGACTCGAGGTAGTCTCATGGCTCGAAACAGGATTAAGAGCGAGCTATCAGTGATGTGTTGAAGTGTTGGCTTCAAATCACTGCGTCTAAAGTCTAAAGTAGAGTACTGAAGCATTGGAAAAGCTGGTCAGCATCAATCAAAGATGGACTATAAAAGCCAATCGGACGCAGGGAATGAAGACGGGTGTAGAGAAGCGCCGGTTTCCTGTACACCACCAATTTGTTTTCCCTACTGCTTTACATTCAGCCTATCCAAAACCAGTCTCGCTACCTTATATTTCCAACACCAACATTCCAGACAAGTCTTATATATCGCAGTTCAGTCTCCAAAGCCTCGATTAGGCATCTTGTCCGAGTGGTTATGGAGTTGGTTTTAAGTTATGTTTGTCTAGCAAACTTAAATCACACCAATGCTCGAAAGAGCGCGCGCGTTCGAACCGCGCAGATGTCAATATCTTTTTGCATTTTTTGCCTTTTGTTTGTTGGTAGGTAGTATACAGGTCGATTGTCAACTGTATCAGAGTTACTAGTTTTTTGTACGTTTGTTACTTCATGCCTGGTGGCCTTTGGCTATTATTCGACCCTCCTTGTTTTCTTTGTTCCGCGAAATTTCGAAGGAAGTTTTGGATCTGAAGGTCACGGTTTCCGCCCATTGGTCGCTGCAAACCCTCTACTTCCCCTTGCAATTGAGTATCGATATTCCTCCATATCGGCCTTTGAGGATTCTGGTTTAAAAACAATCCTTTGCGTATCTTTTCAGCTTCAAGGCTATCCAAAACCTCGTCGGCGGATGGCAAAACTCTTTTCATATTGAGTGATGGCGTTTCATCGGCACGGAAAGGAGGTATCACCGGGACAGCGTTCGGGTCGCTCCATCTGAATGGTTTCGAGATAATGGGCGGCTGAGGACGATGCTTGATACGTAGAAGGCCTTGCTCCGCAACGACCCGTTCTAGAGCTTGATGCTCAAAAAACTTATGAGAGAGAAGCGTATTCTGTTGCTGGCGTGCTATCATTTCGTCGAACGGATCCCGCCATGGCTGGCCAGGATTTGAGTAACGTATTGGTTCGAGGAAAAAGTTATTCGTACTAACGTAGGGATTAGGATTCGTCGAAGCCCTTGAAAAATCCATCTGGCTCGCCCTATCGAAGGTGCCCCTATACGGTATCGAGCTGAAGAATGGATCTTCCATCGTCAGGTCAGCACGGTTTGTATTCATACCCGGACCTATATCGGAAGCTACTGGCTCCTCTTTGATGGCGGTGTCAACATTCTGGTTTGGTGGTCTGTAACCTGGTTCCGCTATCCCAAGATCCGCCTGGTGTTCTACTTCATCACCTCCCTCGATGAAAACTCGAACGCCCTCATTCTCCCATCTGCCTTGTCTTTCAGAGCTCCCTTCCCAGACCCGATAAGGATTCATCGTGTAGAGTAGCGGATCTGTATCTTTACCAAGCTGAACGCCGCCCTTTTGCTCTGGGACGCCACGTATCTGAGTTTCGACTCTAGCCATTTGCCACTTTCCATATTGTTCATCGAGAGCTTGTTTCATGGATTTCAGTTGGGCTGTTAGTTCCTCAACTTGAGCTTCTCCTAGTGGATCCTTTTCCTCCTCTTCTAGGAGGGCTTCCAACTCCATTTTAAAACGCGATTCGAAGCCCGATTTTGAAGCATCCCGACGGAGGAGTGCCGCTCTTTTATCGATTATCCAGGCTTTGTCCGGTACTTGCGTATCCCAAAGAATATCAGTGTTCTCTACTACTTTGTGATCATCCGCTTTTCTTATCAACTTTTTAACAAAACCGTTGCCAAGATCTCTCCCATTCCTAAGCTCCGGCGCGATAAATTCGTCCCAATAACGATCCCCGGGCATAATTTGCTTCCAGTTGGAATATACCCACTCCCCACCGAACTGTCGTAGGTCGATTATTTGAGCCTCTTGGCCCGGTTGCAAGTATATAATAAGCCGTGGAGGAACGTTGCCGCAGTTAAAATCCCGTTCTTCCCATAACCCCATTGCTTGAATCGGGTTACCCAAATCTGGATGGCTCATTAATCCAACAACCCGAATGATGCCCAATTCAGTACCGGTTGGATCGGGGAACGAATGGCATAGTGGCTTCTGATCTATTCGACTTCCTCTTGTGAGAAGGGATGACTGTGCTTTCAATAATTTGTTGTCCGCTAGGTTTTTGCGGATATCGGTATATCCCCATAGTCTATAAAAGGCCTGGCAGGGTACAGGAAGTAGCCATGTCGCTAGAAGTAATGAAGTTTGGAGAATGAGATGTTCTCGCATTCTTTTAACTGGGCTCGGTTTCTCGAACGTCTATATATATCTAGGGCCCCGACCTGAATATTTGAAGATTTGTGAATTCCTAAACTTCAGCTGCGAAAAATACGATGATGACCCACCGTAAATCTGATACTATGAGGAGATGTAAGATCGAGTAGAACTTGGCACTGAAGAAATTATGGCGCACGTGCGGTTGAGAATATTTGATGGTGTATGAGTTTAAATTTAGCCAGTCGAAGTAACTTTCCGGTGTCATGGGTAACATGCTTGAGTGCAAAATACTAGGTACGCATATAATTTAATTCCAAAGATTTAAATAACTAAAAAAATACATGAGAACACAGGAGCTGCGATGCTCAGGATCAAACCAAACTAATCATCGGTCTCCCTACTAGTAGGGTTTATCTTATTCACCACGCGGGCCAATAATAAAATTTCCACGCCTATGTATCCTTATATGTCCATCACCTTATATGAAGCTTAGATTGTTAGATTTTTTATCATCCCTCTGACCGGTCCGTACGTTATCTCTGATGCCGAAGGTCGGGCTCTTCATGTCGGGGCTTGATTTATGGCATGAGAGCCACCCACCCTCCGAGACTCTTCCCGAACCATATGATCCGCGACTTCATCAGCACCCAGCGAGAAGTCGTCGTTAGGAATGAAGTTGAACCCCTCCGATCCAAAGTCTATGTCTAGTTGCTCCTGTTGTTTCCTAAATAGCTCTTCGTTCTTCAACCAATGCCCGAAGAGAACCATCAACTGGGCTCCCATAAAACTTTCGATTCGAACATCAGTCTGGCTACTGAAAGTACTAGGTTCAATTTTTGCGCCCCTAACAACGCCCTCTAGCCGTCTACCACTCTCTTGGCTCGGAATATGCATATTAACCGAGACTATACTCGGGTGCTCTGGGTCTCGTTGTTCTGGTTTGTCCCAGCGGCCGACTATTCCCCGATCGATGGGGTCATCTAGATCCCCTTGCTTCCAGCTCTTCATAGCAGGGATCGCATTGTCGAGTAGGTTAATGACATAAGAATTACCGCTGGTACTCTCCTCTCCTCTTGGTGGTTCTAGCTTGATGAACAATGCCGGAGTTGTCCCACAAACTTCGTCTTCAAAAAAGAACAAATAATCAACCTTTCGCCCCGCCCGAGGAGCGTTGAGAATACTGATCATCCCGGGGACAGGATCTTGAGGTCCATTAGGGACAAAATCCTGCATCAACTGGCATTCCGGAGTACCCACCGGGAATTTATGGGTTTTGGATAACAGAGGAGCGTTCCCGGTTAGTAAATATAGCGTAAGACCTGCGTTACCCTCGTGGACCCCGTTTGGACCACTCAGCTCATTCTTCCATAAAAACCTCAACCAGAAGGCGCCGACGCTTGGGAGAATACCGATCGCAAGGCTTGCTATCAAGGCAATAGGTAGTGCCTGCACGCGTGGTCGCATTTTGATGTTTATTCATCCCACATGTGCTTTGTACATGCGGTGGAAGCCATCTTTCCCTCAGAAAAGAATCATCTACTTGAGTTAGAATGCTAGAATTCGAGCGGAATAGCCAACTACTGGTCATAACCTTGACTTAAGCGCTCGTTGTGTCCAAAAATCCAACAAACCACGAAATTCGTGTTGCCAAGATGTTGTTTCAGCTAGAGTCCGGGCTGGATTCCGAGCCTGAGTTCTCCTAGGGCCAGCCGCATAGTACAGGCTAATTTCAACAATTCGATACTCGCATTTCGCCGTTCAAAATTGGCATTATTCGGCTAGTCTGGTCGAGTGTTTCGTTTGTCAATATAAACTTTTTGTGAGAAACAGTTCAGCAGAGAGGGGGCTTGATCGAGACAAGGGAAACTCAGTAATTTCTTTGCGGTGGCTAAGAGCCTAAAGAGCTTACTGAATATAATCCCACCCCTTGTAGACGGTGAAATGTATTGATGAGTATTAAGCATCTGCGAGCTACAGAGCTTCCCCTGTCAAGCTCTCCCATGCCTCCAGCTGCAGCTTACAGGTACCAGGTAAGGATGTTCGGTATTAGGAAAATCTTGCTTAGGCTACACACCACGTTGATAGGGTAAAATGAAGTTTGGTGTGAATTGCAATGCTTAACGCATTGTTCCCAGTTAATTGCTGAGGTATTTCTTCTTCATATCGATCCCGTCCACCACCGCATTTCGGTGAAGTGGCACTAGTGAAACCGTTTGCTCAAGACGATCTCTACGCCAAGGCATCCCACATGGTGTCCACCCCCTCAGCCTGGTCCCGTGCATGGTCGTGACTTCAAGTAGCCCGCCCCTTCAATTGGATCGGCATCTAGTAGATTGCACGAAGCCTTGTTAAAATGACAGGAGAGCATTTATTTCTTAACTTCAAACGGGTCTCCGGAAAACTATTCGGGGCGACGAAAGTTGGGGGAAGAGAAATCTTTGCCGACGGTTTTCATTGTTCGCTCGTTCGACAATCAGTTACGAGGTTCTGGCGTCATTCGCGTTCGCTTGCCCTTGGACGCCCGTTTCAGGAGAAATTCCTGATCTGGTGTTCTACTGCAGGAACACATTCGAGAAACATTACACTAACTTTCGACACGGGAACAAATGAGCGCTAGTGTGACTGATCCCCGCTTCTTTGGCCCGTACAGGTAGGCAAAAGGAGTCGCTGCCAGCGCAAAAACGTCAATCTTGTAGCGAAGATATGTATTCTCTTTGGGCCCTTGAAAGTTAGCACTTGGTCCTGCCTTGTCCTTTTCCTTGCATGTGCACCTTTGTTCTGGGATTGAATAAAACTGCCAGACGGCCACCCTTCCACCGTTAAAACGGTTCTTTGTTTTCGACACTCCTTTGCTCCGGCTTTTCAATTGACTGTTTCTTAATTTTTTCCCGACTCGAACCTTCCTTAAAGCCTTTCCTTTCTGACAATATTCTTCGGCTCTGGCTCTGGATCAGCTGTCTTTTTTACCAGATAAGGATTTAGCTTTGACAGTTTGCCGTTCCTGAATCAGTTGGCTGGTTCCTGCTGAAGTTTACCCGAAACCCTATGACCGATTTGTTCGACGTCCGACGCCCACCTTATTCTGATGCCACTTGAACGTTAAACCGGTGTATTGGGACAAAAAGTCAATAAAACAAAAACTTAATACTGGTGATTACGAGTA